CAAAATGCAAGTTCGCAACTAAAGAACTTAAATATCTCGGTTATAAAATTTCGCAAAAGGGTATAGAAACGCAAGATTCAAAAATAAAAAGCTATTAAGAATTTCCCACCGCCAACACCGCCAAGAAACTTTCTTTCCTTGGATTATGTTCTTACTATCGATCTTTCATAAAAGATTTCGCTAATATTGTTGAACCACTCTTAGTAATCAAAAGAAAAAAGAGTAAATTTACGTGGACAGCGGAAGCTAACACAGCTTTTGAAAGATTAAAAGAAGCGCTTATTAATGCCTCCTGTTTTAAAATTCCCTGAGGGGGACGAAAACCTGGAAATTGCGGCAGATGCGTCAGACTATGCGGTGGGTGCGGTTCTTATGCAAAATAACCATCCGCTGGCATTTTTTAGTAAAACATTGAATCAGACACAAAGGAATTATACAGCTACAGAAAGAGAAACATTAGCCGTATTAATGGCTGTACACAAATTTCGAGTTTATTTCGGCAAATCGCCAGTAACAGTCTTTTCGGATCATGCGGCTGTTGGTAGACTTTACTCGGGAAAAAACCTAACGCCCAGGTTAATAAAATGGGCTTTAAAACTCCAAGAATATAATATCACAATAAAATATAAACCGGGTAAGGAAAACAATGTAGCTGACGCACTTTCTCGTATAAAACTGGACGACGAAGGAAATGAACTTAAATGCGCTGTGTTGACTTTAAAAATTTTAGATTCTAGAGATACGGTTATTACTGAACTGAAAGCTGATCCTGAATTTGGAAATATCTATGCTTATTTGAAAGACCCCGAAAGCTTTGAGCACACAGATATCGATGCGATAAGAAATAGAGCAAAAAACTATGAAATAATAGATAATTTATTATTCTATACGAAAACAACAAACGAAAATCTTGAGTATAAGCCAGTCATCCCAGCCTCGCTTCGATTAAGCATTTTGAGGGAGTTGCACGAAAAAAAAAAACAGCGGGCCACCTCGGGGTCAGAAAGACTATAAAAAGGGTACGCGAGGCGGTATATTTCCCGCAATTATACAAAATAGTAACGGCGTATGTCAGGTCCTGCAATCAATGTCAGTTAATAAATGATATTAATTACAGCCCGGCCGGGTACTTAAATAGCATTCGCGCTACATTTCCGAATGAAATTTAGGCATAGATCTCCTTGGTCCCTTCCCCCAGAGCGAGTTAAATAAAAATCGTTTTCTTTTAGTAATAGTAGATCATTTTTCAAAATGGATAGAAATTGTTCCACTTAAACGCGCGTCAGCCAAAACAGTCGCAGATGCATTCTTACACAGATACATTTTAAAATACGGTGCACCGATAAAAGTCATTAGCGATAACGGAAAACAATTCATTAGTCAAGTATTTGAAAACATGTGCAATGGACTTGGCATACGCCATATCAAAATGGTTCCGTATAGACCACAGGCTAACATAGCAGAAAGAGTTAATAAAAACATAGTAAAAATAATTCGCTTTTACGTGAGCACACATCACAAGCGCTGGGATGGCTACATAAATGAATTAGCTTATGCTTTAAGAACGGCACATCATGATACTACGGGAAAAACTCCAGCAGAATTATTTTTAGGCAGAAAGTTAATTACGCCTTTAGATAAATTATTCTTTGTGCAACAAAGAGAGCAGGAGTTTTAAACAACAAGATGTGCAAAAGTTGATTGATCAGGCGCTTAAAACCTCGGATACGGCAAGAAATAGACAGAAAAGTTATATTATGATAGAAAACGCCGTGAAGCAGATTTTAAAGTTGGGGATAAAAGTATTGAAGCGGAAATTTTCTTTATCAAGTGCCCCAGACAATTTTATGGCAAAGCTAGCTCCAAAGTTTTGAAGGCCCCTATGTAATTCAGGAAATCAAAGGGGTAGTATTATATCTTAAGAATGACAGAGGGGAAGGGAATCTGTAAAGCAAGTCCCGACCAGGTGAAAAAATACTATAATCCAAATGATTTTGAAATCCTTAAAAGTTTCTTGCAGGACTCAAGTCTAAACGAAATAGAAGGGCCAGAGACTACAACAACTATTCCACCACCCCAAGAAACAGAGAACTGAAGAGAGACCTAGCACTTCTACAACCCGGACGTCGGTATCAAAAAGAAAAAATGATTTTCAAATTCCGGCGTTTAAGAAAAAAAAAAAATACAGATGAACCGGGTAAAGAACCGTGGTAAAGACGAAAAACACCACCTACAAAGGATGGCAGGAGAAAATTACACATCAAGGAGAACGCGCACACGGCCACAGAGTCAGGTGCCAGCAAGGCCGCCGTTTCGGAAACTGAAACGCCAGCAGGAGCACAAAAATACGAGGAACAGAAGAAATTCAAGAAGGACTCCAGACCGGAGGACGTCAAGACCAGCCGTCCCAGGCAGAAAGAAACGCAAAGGGCCAACAACCAGACGATTACTCCGTCAAGAGGCCAGCATGTAGAGGACGCAAAAGAAAGAGCAACGTGGACGACACTCGGAGATCAATAAGGAGAAGATATTGACATCCATGAAACCTCTAACTTGGGATCAATTTTGCCAAAAAAAGATGACGGAGTTTCAAGCATCGAAAACTCAAAGATAAGTTAAAAACCTTCTATAATTTTTTTTCTCTTTTGTTCCGAAATGTTATGCATAAGTACGAAGTTCTATGTTTTGACGAAAGTCAATATGTCTCGGTTGAGACTTAGTTTTGTTTTACTTTATTTAGCTAAGGCAAAAGTATTATTTCTTTAAGGTAAAAGCTAAAAACAAGCATTTTCTGTTGGTCGAAAGACTAATTCTGTTATGTTAAAGCCAAAAATTTGGCCGAAGATAAAAATAACTTCGTATTCTTGTATTAATAAGAATTTTAGTTTCAGTGCCGCCAGCTTGGCGAAGAATGAGTAAAGTAAAAATTTATTTTCTCTTATTCATTTTATGGTAAATTGTAAAAAGCATATGTATTAAAAATTTGTAAATGTATGTAAATACTTGAAGGTTATGTAAAAGTAGAATTTAGTCTAGAAGCATAAAATTGTAGATGCTAAAAAGTGAATGCTTAAAAGCAATGAAGTCAAAATTTAAGTATTAAATTGTAGATAAAGTCATGCTTTAGAGCGAAAGCCTGCATGTTTAAAGATGAATGAGGGGGAAGTTAGAATGAATGTGTTTTTGTAGGGTTCTCCACCTACATTTGAATTTTTAAGAATTTAAGAAAGTAGCTCATTGAGTTGTAGAATGTCGAGTAAGGTGTGTGGTCTATTTGGTTTGTTGAATTCTAACAAATCATGGTGGTTAGGGGAAGTGTTGTAAGACTAAAACACGAATATTCCCGTTTGACACCACACACGGTGGAGAGCCAGGGTAAAGTTAAATTAATGCTTGAAAAATTGAATGAATGTGAATTAAGCAATAACTAAGAAAAACGAATCGTTTAAAAACAAAAATTTATTGTGTCAAGAAAGTGTAAATTATAATGTATGTAGAAAGATACTGATACTTATTCCTTCCAGATGCTGGAAGGAAAGACCAAGATTGATTGATGAAGTCCAGGAAAAGTTGCTGTAAGAAGAAAGAAAGCTTTGTAAACGAGTAACAGAATTTTAATATATAATTGTTACATAAGATTTTTTTTGGGTAAACGAGGTTCTCGCCAGTTAGTTCAGAATTAAATAAACTTACAACAGGTCGTTTGTAGGACCTGCTTCCAAGTTTTCCAAATTCTGGCAGCGGCAAATGTAGGGTTTATATTTATTTTAACTAACATTTATTTTAAGTTTAAACTATCTTTCCTGTCAAGCCTTACTTTCCCCTGGAACTGCCAATGCCAGAATATGTAAATTTGAGTAGAACGCGCAAGGATTCAAATTATCAGCGGAAGTATTCTGATTTAAAATAGAAGGAAACAAGTTCGGTGTGAGAGTTTCTCTTACTTAGCGAGCGCGGAGGTAGTTAGCGAGAATTGAAGAACCCGCGTTGCGGCCTATGTGCTTGGCGGGAAGTAGTGGTTCATCGTTCCAGTGAGCTTCAAGTCTGCTGAATTAGCAGCGGTATTGTAAAACGCGGTGAGTTAGTTATTTTTAGAGAGCCTCGTAGTTAGAATCTTGTCTTTATTTCTTTTCAGGTATTTATTTTTATTTGACTGCCAAGTTGGCACCATCTGTAAGCGTCAAGAGAACGCAATTGTAATTTATTACGTTGAATAAAAAGGGACTTAAACCCTTCACAAGTTCTATCTTTTATACAGTTTCCACCTTTGTGCGTGCAGTTAAGGCGCGCACGATAACATTACTATTCAGAAATGACGTTACACTTGCGTTACGTGGTATTACATTTACAATTTGTGCAGTGTTCGGATTCAGCAGTGTTTTTTTATGTCCAATGTGGCATTAGATTTTGATACATATTGAGCAATGTCTGACATGCCGGGGCATGTAAGTATACATTTCTAATGTTCATAGGCGCATCTTGCTATGTCACTGCGGTATTCGCAGGATTGTACTGTACATATGCTTTTGCATACATATTCTAAGATATTGTCCTTTGACTGTTCAGTACATCCGATGCGACATTTACATTTAAATACACGTATTTAAAGCAGCTAGGTTGTGCAGCCAGTTATGGGGATGGGCATTGGGTAGCGTTACACTTGCAATTCAGGTCTAGACAGAGCCTGAAGTCAGCTGTGTACTTTCTTTGTCTGACACGTCATCCATATTGATATTCACTGTTAAATTAGTGGAGATGTTCCCGCATACTTGCTGATGTGCATGAACTATTTTATATACTGGTGCTTAAGTTATTTACATTGCTTGAATTTTGATTAGTACTGCTGAGATGTTGCGGTACGCTTCGGATATACAGTACATGTACACATACGTGGTATACTTGGCATGTTTGACTTACTGTTGGTAGAGTTTGCTTGTTCAGCGCTATATTTGCGTTATCTGAGGAGACATTTCTCAAAAGCCATGCAGGCCTTGCACTAATTATTCGACTGCGCAAAGGTCAGTGCCGTGTCTGGCAAGTAAATTCATGATTTTAATGATCTGTCGACACAGGTGCTTCTGCTTAATCATGAATTTACAGAAGGCCTGCGTATTGACAGTTGGAATACGTATGTGCAGTTCGCTGGTAAGTGGGCAGGTTGTGACATAATGCTCCGGAGTACCCAGGTGGCCACAACTGCACTGATCTGTGTCAGTCATGCCATGCCTGGCAAAGTACTCCGGGAAAGGCCCATGGCCCGTGATATAGCGCACCAAGTGCGTATTAGAACATAGCCGGGCAGGGTTTACGTACATTAGATGGTAGTGTGTACGCCTGCCTGTTTGTGCAGTGTCCCATTCTTCCTGCCACTTAGCGAGAGCCTGCAGATGGAGATGTCGTTTCAAAGTAGAGTGTGGCCATGGAATTTCCAATTCCTCCGCTTCTTTGTTGAGGGCTGCGTCTTTCGCGAGGAGGTCGGCTGCCTCGTTACCGGTGTTTCCTGCGTGGGCTTTCGTCCATGCCAGGCGAACATGCAGATGCTCTGTCTGCCTTAGATGGTATTGAATTTCTTTGATAATTGTGGACGTGTGTGCCGGATTTTGGATGGCTTGTAGGGCTGACATGCTGTCGGAAACTATTGCTGCATTCCTGATGTTATGGTAAGCAATATGTTGTACTGCCTTTTGAATTGCCAGTGCCTCCCCTTGAAAGACGCTGTTGTTTTTGTTAAGATGGCCCTTCCATTGCGCGACCTGTTCTTGGCCTTGAAACATTACGTACGCACATCCGACGTTGTCATCCATTTTTGACCCATCAGTAAAGATACGGGTATTGTGCCTGTTCATATCTTCAGGTCGCCCTTTGAGGTTGATTCGTACTCCTACGCTCTGCTGCTGTGCTGGGTGGAAACTCAAGTGGATTGGCTGGAATTTCATAATCTCTGGGCCAGTAAGTTTCTTCATATAAAGTGGCTGGTTGCCGCAGTTGCTTAACTTGTTGCAGGACTGCCTCCCTTTCGGCGCTGATGTGAAGGGAACGAGACCTGCTAAAATGTTCAGTGCGCTAGTTGCTGTCGTGCGGTAGGCCCTCGTGATGTTTAACATAAATTGCCTTTGTATACTTGAAAGATGCCGCACTTTACGGCTTTGCATCGGCTGGGCCCATACAGCCGCCGCATACGTTACAATCTTTTCTGCAACTGTCTGATAGATGATCTTATGAATATGCGGATTGAGGCCCCAACTGTGACCCTGCATTAACCGCATGTTCTTGGCAATGGTCGCGGTACGTTTTTTGAGGTCAATTACATGTGGGATCCAGTTCAATTTATTATCAAACAGTAGACCCAGATATTTTAATTGCTTAACTATTTTTATCCGCTGGCCATTGATGGTAATGCGAGGCTGTCTGACCAGCGTTCCTCCTTTTTTGGGGAAAAGCAGAATTTGTGACTTGCTTTCCGCTATTATTAATTTTATCTTCTGGCATCTTTCGCTGAACAGGGAGCAGGTCTGATTGCTGTTCGCTTGTAGTTCCTCTCTCGTGCGACCTTTTACTATAAAGGCCGCGTCGTCCGCGTAAGCTATAACCCTTGTATGCTCCGGCCACTGTGCAGAGAGAATACTGTTGAAAGTTATGTTCCAGAGGTGGGGGCCCGCGCATGAGCCTTGTGGGCATCCGCGGGACTGCCTCCTCTGGAGTATACCTCCGTTGTGGACGACTATGACGCTTCGGTCTGACAGGTAGTGCTGGATTGTTCTGTACATGTTCGATGGGCATTTAGCTTCTGCCAGCGCATTGAGTATGGCTGGCCACCACAGCGTGTCGAAGGCGCTTTTTAGATCGAGGCTGATAAACGCCGTGTGGTGACCGTTCCCTTGATTTTTATAAATTTCGTTTTTGATTTCTGCCAGTGCGTGAACCGTTGATGTACCGGTTCTGAAGCCATACTGGTTAGGGCTTAAGTAATTGGTGAGGTGCAAGTGATGCCTCAGCCGATTCATAATGATCTTTTCGTACACCTTCCCCAACGCAGACAAGAGGCAGATGGGTCTGTACGAGTCTGGGTTGGAGGGGTCTCTATTTTCTTTAGAAAGAACACTGCTTGCCCTACTTTGAAACACCGCGGGAATGTACCCGTGTTATAAAGCCTGCTCAGGAGTGAAGTGAAGAATTCAATGTTTGCACTTAAGACGGCCTTGACGATGTTATAATTTACTCCGTCCGGCCCCGGAGCTTTTTTCTTGGGGAGGCAGTGTAGTATTTGTATCAATTCCTGTGCTGTGATATCTTGTCATCTGGGATGAAGTATGTTGCGTAAAGTCCACCAACGGCCGAGCGGTAAAGTGCTAACATGGTAGTTCGGTCCGAGGTTCGAATCCCGCGAAGGGCTGGCGTAGGGCGTTTATGGTTTTCCCCTGTAAGTGTATACGCCGTTTCCTTAGGAAGTCTCCACGAAGGCATCCCTCCCCTTAGGCAGATAGCCCTCGAGGCTTTGCCATAATCACACACACACACTTTTTTAAATAAATCAGCACATAATTATTATATTATTATTGTTGTTGTAAAAAGAACTCATAACATATTTAAATTATAATTACCCACCGAATAACGATTATTGAAGGATTTAAAGCAACAGAATCAGCGTAATATTCCTAAATTTGCAAGATTAGTTAACGAAGGTTAAATATAAAACCTTCGTTTTCAGCTGTAGAAGTGCAAACGACTTTCTCCTTTCTCAAAAATGATTTGCACTTCTGCAGCTGAAGAGAAGTTCCACATTTAAACTAGTCTTGCAAATTTATCAATATTGTGTTGATTATTGTTGACTTAAATCCTCCAATAACTCTTTATTAGTTCAATAGTTCTCTTCTTTGAAACCCATTTTAAATCTTCATTAAGAAAAAAGATCAGTGTAAACGAGAAAAGCTTGCTTGTAGCGAAATGCTTAGTATGAACATAATTTAACAGACTAAATAAGATCTGAAAATATGTCTCTCACTTAAATCTTTTAACCACTTTTTTAGCTAAAACTACTTTTTTTTTTTATAATATATATATATATATATATATATATATATATATAATATATTATAAAAAAACATAATAATTGGCTAAGAATTAAAAATAAAAATTTTAAACTGTCCTTCGTTATATAGTGCAGGACTGAAATAAAATAAACGTAAAAATCTAAATTAAGTCATATTAATTCTATTATCTCCTAATATAAAGTTAGTAGAATGTATCTGAATGAAGTAACCCAGAAGCATTGAAATTTAATCTATAATATATATATATACATTATTTTTTTATATAGACCATTTTAACTGCAATAATGCATTTTATTTACCAGCAGGCTGCCAATAAAGCTCCATTTCTAATGAGAATAAAATAGCAAATATACTGAAATGCAGTTAGTGTTTTCTGAAACTACATAAAATCCATTCAAATTTTTATGATAAAACAGAAATCAGAAACGGCAAAAAGGAATGAATCAGAAACGGAAACCAGAAACTCATAAAAACGAAAAAATGATACCACATATTTTTCTGCTGTTTATATGACTTTGTCGCATATAAGCTGATATGGAATCAAGTTCTTTTCATTAATGTGATTACTACGATTTCAGGGTAATTTCGAAAACTATCTTTCATTGAAACGAATTTCATTAGTTGCTATTGATCTTGAAACAGATTGTGTATTGTTTATTTGAATGCAAAGAAGCACATTAGAGCTAATTAGCTAAAGAAAACAATGCTTTCGTGAAGAATTTTGCAAAAGAAACTGATTCACATTTGCATTACATTTATTTGTTAAACATCAAGAAAGCGTCTATGCAGATAATCCATTCTCTGTACTTGGATAAGATTGTTAACCACCATTAGTTTCAGCCGGGTGCAAATTCAGCAAGCGAACTGGCCAATGGGCATTTTCATTGTTTCCTTACTTGAGACAAAGCTACGATTTAATTTTTCTTTAAATATTCCTTTTTAGAATCATCGATTTCATATCTCTAGTGTGCTTTGTCTTAATTAAATCAAACAACTAGTTAGCCGTTTTGGTAAGTAGCCGTCCCCCCCCCCCAAATCATCTAACCAGCTTCCATTTTCAAATTTAATATTGTGTGTTTTCTGCGTTCCATTTACCTTTTGGTCATACAAAGGGGACGCAATTTAGGAAAAGTATCCGCGAGCCGAGAAAATAGAAGGGTTGCTTTATTCTGCAATGTGATGAATTCCTTACTAGCTAGCCTACTGTTTAAAAATAATATCAGGTATGATTTGTAAACAAATAAGCCTGTCAATGTTTGAAAAAGTTTCTTCAGCAAAGTTCATCGCACTTGCTTTTAAATTGAGTTTGATTTATTTCATTATGTATGCGTATTATAGGATGGGCTTGTAGCGTTTGAATAGCGCTCGAACATGCGATGAAGAGGCTGTTTTTATTTTTTATCGTTCCTTCATTTTGTTGCTCTATTAAAAACCGCTTCTACTTTGATCCGTCTTCTTTACCTTCTTCCCATTCCCCCCCCCCGTCTTATTTCACCGCGTCTGTCTTTGCAGATCACCTTTCTTTTCTCTGGCGTCACTCCTAGAGATTATTGTTATTTTTCACGTCATTCTTATTGTTGTAACAGACAATGGTTTTGTTGTTCATTTTGTGTCATCTCTGAACCTCAGCCGTGTCTTCCGTTATGCGCTGTGGTGATCCTACGTATCCATCTCTTGTCTTTCATCCTATGCATGTATGAACGATATAATTCTTTCTCTTAAATTTAAATCTGAAAGCAGTTCTTTTTAGCAGGCGAGTCTCAACCGCAGTTTACGGCACGAATGGTTTTTAGAATCCATTAATCCGGTTTGTTTCGTATAATAATAATAATTAAATAATAAGAAGAAGAGTAAGAAAAAGAATTGAAAAGTATGAGATGATTGGATGATTTTAGTGGATGCGACTGCTTCTTAAAAGGTTTGCTTTAATTGATTATAGCAAAGCACTTGAAAGCTATCTGCCTAATGGGAGGAATGCCTTCGTGGAGAACTTTCTAAAAGCTCGCATACATGTAGGAAAAACTACGAAAACGCCCACGCAGCTAGCCCGAACGTGGGATTCAAACCTTGAACCGAACTACCTTGTTCAGCAACTTTACCGCTTGGCCGCTGGTGGGCTTCGCTTCTTAAATGAACTAAATATGGGATTATAACACCAAATTAAAGTATTAAATGGTGTTTATAAAATGACAGTATTCGAAATTAATCTACAGTTGCAGGAATCTCGTTTTAAAGGCAAAGACTTAACTGACAGTGAAACTATGCTTGGTTAAAATCATATTTGAAACACTATTAAGCTTCCTGAATGGTAAACTTTAAAAGTTACTATATCCTTGGAAAACAAACCACTTCCAGTTGTGAGCTGTATATGAAAGCCATTAAATTTCAGTCCTACCTTATAAGGTATTTCTCCCGCCTTTTTATCATGCCTTCATTCTTAATAGCCAGCACACTCAGTGCGTATTCGAGAGGTCCGTGGTTCGAGTCCCGGCGAGGGCATTGCTCATTTTTCATCTCTCCTGCTTTCAGAAAATACCTAATGTCTCTACAACCTACGACGGCGAAAAGTGATAAGTAATGTTTCCTAGACACATTCCCACAGAAGTTTCATCAGCAGGTTTCAATGAGCATTTTACGACGATAGGGAAACAAGTGCGTTTAACCCTATATGTCACTAAGATAATTCATTCAGGATAGAAGAAAGAATAATGGTAATTTAACTACCTAGTAATTAACTACCTATCATGATAATTTAACTATCTACATAAAACTCTGAAAGCAAAGATTCTTGGAAATACTGTTTCGATGAGGGAAATGCTGCTTCGAGAAAATTTGTTGTCCGTTTTATAGCAACTTTACATCACAGCGTCACGCATAGGAGGAAGGCATAATTCCTCAGGACCTAAGCGCAGCAAAATAAAAAACAAAAATACCACTTTTGCATGAAATGCGTTGCTCACAGCATTAGTTTGAACTGAAAGTTCCTAACATCAACGTTTGGGCAGCACATATGTTTAGAGACCTCTTTTGCCAATCAGTGGCGTAAATAAGGGTATGCAAGGAATGCCGTCGCATAGGGGCCCGAAGGATAAGGGGGCCCTTAAATGTCCTGCTGAATTACATTTGCATGTTTAAACTTAAAAGACAGATTCCATTACATATATATAGAAGCTTTAATTCATTTTCCCTTGATGGATTCGGAATTAGAATTTCAATAAAAGAAGATTAATTATTATTTTTAAATTTTTTATCTTGTATTTTTTCCCTTTTGCTTTGCTTTTCATTTTTATTTTTAGAATTTGTACTTCTATAAATTCTTATCTTAATTTTGATATGTTTTGATTTTGTGTTAAACTTCTTTTACACTATTGTTAGTATTAATATAGTTGAGGAATAGCCTTGATTTGACGCCAATTTACTTTTAACTTTAAAATCTTTAAGTATACTTAGATAATAGAATTCGTTTTCTTTTAAGTTTTTAAGGGCCCCCTACCTATATGGTGTAGTGACGCAATTCTCTGTATGACGCAGATAGGAGGCCCTTGGAAGCACCCGAAACAGCTAAATTCAAGTGTTTGCAAAAGTTAAAATTCCAGCATTCGACTATGAAATAATAACTCATGACCTACCCAGTTTAGGAATAGCAGTGAGCGGAAAATAGGAAAAGTTCCTTTGTATTCCTTAGTCTCAAACCTGAAAATTATTAAAGGTGACCCCCTAAAGAAAAGGTTTCTCTTTTTGCAGTCCCAAATCAAAAAGCGGCTGATATGGAAATTTAATTGTAACTATTTATTTAAAGTAGTTATTATATGTTAATTGTTTCTGTATAATTAGCATTATGATCGAATAATCAGTAGACATTTTCTAAGTATATAAAGTAGTTCTCCCACTTCCCTAGCGTGCCTTCGTGGTGTAAACGGTAGCACGTGGGCCGGTATTCCAGAGGTCCGTGG